ATATAATAATATTAGAGTTATTAATACAATTATGATATTATTTGTTACAATATTACTATTATATTATATTATATTATATTATATTACGAGTCTGAATTTTAGATCGTAAAGATTGTAAATTTTAAATTTCATTAAGGGTATTATGAGTATTATGAAAGTTTCATTAATTGTACTATGCTGATTCCCGCACAATTAAAAAGCTAAAGTTGCCTTTGGGCTGTTTCTGATTTTGGCTGTAGATTCTTCACAAATTCTTCAAAAAACACTTTTGAAGAGATTTATCAAACATTAAAATCAGCTTTTGTTATAAGCAGAAGCTGATTTTAAGAGCGGAAAATAATACCAAACTAAGCCATAAAAAGATGTTCTTAAAAAGTTAGATTCCATTTTAATATTATAAAAAATATAAAATATTAAAAACATATTTTATAATAATATAAGGTATGAAAATGATTTTATCCGTTTCTTTAAAAAAATGATTTTATCCCGTTTGCGAAACAAATGGTGCATTTAGAATTGATTTTTGCTTGTTTTTGAAAATATTTTTATACATATTTTGAGGTACGAAAATGAAAATGATTTTCAAATCGTGTTTATTTAGTAAATATTTTAAAAACAGAAACAAAAAAAAGTGAGACTAATTTTTATGAAGTAATTAAAAAACAATTAAAAGTTTTCATTTCCTAATACTTATCAACAAAGTTATGATATATTAATTATTAATTATAACTAAACAAGATTTTATTTTTTAATTATACTCAAAATAATATCTTAAAAAATCAATCAACATAATTTTAAAATCAGTTTCACAATCATTCTCAAAATAATCTCATTTTTATTTTTATATTTAAAACAAAACCATTTTGATAAAATTACCGAATTGGCCCAAACCTTTTGCAACCCAAACTGTGAGGACCCGTCCGTCATTTCACCCCCTCCACGCCCCATTCTTCTCGATAATAAACCTAAAAAATGCCACCAAGCTTGTTGACAAATTCTGTTTGGCAAGCGAGAAAAGCGATAGCGAAGGGGAGAAAAAAAATACGGCAAAGATGAGAAAGTTCGATCCGTGGCCGGTGTTCTTCAGGCGTGAGTGGAACAGGAACTGGCCTTTCCTTTTCGGTTTCGCCATTACCGGCACTATCATCACCAAATTTTCCCTTGGTCTCACTGGTAGTACTCTCTCTCCATATATTTTTGTGTGTGCATACATGTATATCTACGATTTGATCTGATCGATTCGTTTCTGAATACGTTTTCGCAGAGGAGGATGCGAAAAATTCTCCCTTTGTGCAGAGGCACAAGAAGCACTGAGTCAGTATGTCTCTGTAAACCTATATAACTACTTTTAATTTCAATTTATTTGTTAATTTTATTATTTCTGCTGTAAGATGAATTGCTTATCTAAGTATACGAAAGTTATTGTTCAATCCAAATTTGGAGAGTTTTCTCAGCTAATTGTGAATTTCAATATATTTAAATATTTAATCATGTTGATTTGTTTTTCAGATTTGGAACAAACATGAGGTTTTGGGGGCGGAGTGCGAATAGACTAGGTGCTTTGGTTGCTAATTTCGAGTTGTTCTTGACGTCCTAATTTTTTCAAACTTTTACGGGAAAAGTACCAATTTTTATGGAATTTGCTAAATAAGTGAAATTCAAAAGCTGATTTTCAATATAGTGTTAGTAGATACCAGTAATACTAATTTTCCTGCAAGGATCACTAATAAGATGGGCCAATAATCCTTCGATGTATGTATAGTGAATTTCAGTTTCTTACCAATGAATTCATACTATACAAGTTTTTGTGTTAAAAAGATGCACACCTTGGAGAAATGATATATAGTAGCATGCTCTATTACGATCGTTCTTTTGTTTATTGAGATTGAGATCAAGAACTCTTTAAAGAAACAAATTTGGGTGTGGTCTTTCATGGAATAGCCATAGGTATTTGTTTCTGCCTACATGAAGATGAATTTGGTTATTACAGAGGATCAAGCTGGATGCTTGGATATTAACACCCAAAGAAAAAATTTGATTTTTTGACTTGGATGCTGTTTGTACTCTTGTTGCCTTTAATAACTATAAGATAGAGAAATCGGGTAACTGAGATGGAGGTGGTGTTTTTCGCAAGTTTTGCAACATGACGTGTGCATGTTGTTTTACTTGTTTAGAGTAACTTTAAAGGTCTCAATCACTGTAGTTTTTGGTAAGATGATCAACGACGGAGAATATAGAGTGGCCTTGGCTCTGTAGCACTTGGCACTGTATACTTTTATATTCCTGGTTGGTTACTGTATCTGTTAGTTAATCTGTTCCTTGTGAGCTTTGGTTGAGGTTAACGAGAAATGGACAAAAACTCGTATCTGTGAAATGATACTTTTGGTTGGGTATTAGTTTATGCTCAAGCAGCATGCTTTTGTGGAACTTGAGTCTATTTTGTGTCAAATTGAATTTATTTCATGTAATTTTTAATGGCAGTGTTCCGTTGTACTTTTTAGGTTACTCTGCAACTGCTTGGAGCTTGTTGAATTAAACCCCAACTGGCACAGGACTTTACATATGTTTGTTTCTTTCCATAATGCAGCTCGAAATGTTTGCTATAGATGTTTCAATTTTAATCTGGTTCATGAAACATTGTTGAATTGAACATCCATGCTGATTTCCTTTTACATGTTAAGAGTGTTCAATGCTGCTGTTAAGAGTCTAAATTGCAACCTTTAGCGTACGAGGATCAATGCGTTTTTGCTTCAAAAGTTACTTTTTCTGATGATTGTTTCGTTGTCCCCCTTTTTTCCCCCTTTCTTTTTCCAATATCTACCTGCTAATCATGGTTTATGGTTTACATGGTCGTCCAATTTCATGCAATAGAGAAAGCATACTAAATCTGTGATTTAAACATGTCCGCTACTCCCACATACCATTGAGACTGTTTTTAGCTAGTGTTGGCTTGTATAAAGCATACTTCTTACAGGAAAAGTGATCTTAAATGTTATATACCGTGCTATAGATACTGAATCAACGACAACATTGGTTAGAAGTGCATCAATATTCACATTTGGTTGATACTTCTATTTTTGGTGGAAAAGAGATTTATTGAATGAACTGGAACAAAAAACAGAAAAGGCCTCCCAGTTCCCACAGAGAAAAAAGCTCGACGCACAAAGCTTTCGAGAAAGACAACCATTACATCCACCAACACCAAGCACCAAATCCACCTCCGTGAACAAGGACAAAATGGCTGGTTTCTAGATCATCAAACTTTACATTGTTGGGAATTGTGTCTTATAAGCATGAGATGTAATAGGATATTTATTATTTATTTAATAAAAGAGTTTATTCATTATTTTATGTGCATATATTTATGAATATTTTATGAATATCAATGAAAATTTAATGGTTATTTATGTAATCTTAAACATTATATATAAGTGTTATATACGAGAGGATAATGTTTAAGGATAATAATTAAAAAACAATGTTCATAATAAATTTAATTAAAGTTCGGAATCTTTAATTAAAACATTATTAATACATGTCATTCCCATTTAGAAAGAAACGGTGTTATCCGTACTGTTAATATGGTGAGATATTGAATGAGTGTTTTTCGCATAATGAGATTATGTGGAACAAGGACACAGACACAATATGAATTTCTAATAATTTCGTTAAGTCTAGAAATTCTAATTGAGTCTATCGATGGTCATATATAGGATGGTCTTAATCCTAAGTTCTTAACAGACTATTATTTATGGATTTGTGTCTTTTGATTTACTCGGTACGGATTCTGAGATCCTGAATCCCATTCCTTGTATTTTGGAGACATGATGAAGTAGGTAGCCGGGAATGTTATTACACGAGATGGAATCCATTCCTTCTTAAGAAAGAAGTAGATAAATAACTCTCTTGAGGGTTGATTCGGTACTTGGATCAGTAGGAGCTCCGATTCATGAATGTGTTTTATGAATCACTGTCCATTAGAGAATCAATGATACTCAAGGATAAAGAAGTAATTAGAGAGGTTAACGGATTTTACCTTGCTCTAATTATGAATTACTTATGGAGAATTGATCTATATGCAATGACTATATCAAATGGACACTT